CCTGCAATTCACAGGAGCCCGCATCCAGGCCTCCATGGCAGATCTTCAATGGGACGGCGCTCGTCCTTCGAAGCATGGTGTGAGCCAGTGCTTTTGGGCTTCGGGTTTTTGCGCGGGAACTACTGCTGACGGTGCTGTTTTAGTCCATAAACTATGGTACTCGATGATTGCAGGCCTTGTCCACGCAAGTCAGGTTGTCTAGGATCCTACTTGGCAGCAACAAGTTCTTGTGTGTCTTGAGAGTTGGAATTCCAACTCGTTACAGTGCACTTGCATGCTTGTGTGGGAAGCATGTGCTGAGAAAAGGCAACCGTGACTGTCGGGCCGTGTGCTTTGCTTCTTCAGCAGGTGTTACGACAAAGTATAATATCCCCAAAGGTTCCCAAAGCACATAAACAACTTTCGACGTTGCCAGTGGATCCCTGTGTGTGGTCCTGAAATATTCACCTCCAGCATTCTTGATACCCCGGCCCGAACCCGAAGTCCTTTCCCAACGCAGGCACTGTTGATCCCCCGCCGGCGAAGAGATCCAAGAGCGGTCCTGCAGCAAAGGCGGTGGCCAAGGCCGTTGGTTGTGGTGCCGCATGGCTGTCCTTATCGTGTGGTTACTGGCAGGGGAACCTGCTGCTGTTGTTTGTTGTGATTCGGCTGATAAGCTTCTGTTGACTGACGATAGTGACTAGTGGATGACTCGAAATATTCTGCAAAGAAGGCGAGCAGCTCTTACAGGCCACTTCGGTGCGATTCGAGGGCTTCGTTAAGAATCTTGTGGTCATAGGATTGGGGTGTTGATTGGTATTAGAAGTTTTTAGTTAGCACACTCGAAACAAAGGTAAGCGAGACACACGCTTGTTCTTTGGCTTCTGCTTTCTGGCAAGAGATTCGGCATCTCCCCGGTGCTGAGAACATTGCGAGTGCTGCGTTTCTACAGGAAGCTGACCGTCTTGCTTCTACAGGGCACGAGACCCGCCTGGGTCAAACCTTGGTGAAACACAACTTTTTGGCAAAGGTTGACGTGTCCTATGTGGATGTTTTTCTAAAGAAGTCCCATCCTGTTCTGGCGATTCGGGACTTCGTTGCGGGATTATCTGCTGAGGACCACATGACGACCCTTTTTCATGGGCACGAAGCTGCAGACTATGCGAGATTTTGGGCCCATTGGCAGAAGGTGCAGCCCGACCATCCGGTTTACGAAGTTCACGCTGGCCGTTTAGGCCAGGTCGTTCCAATTTGGATACACGCCGATGAGGGGACCAGCCAAAAAAAACGAGGCCTCATGGTCCTTTCCTGGCAACCCTTGCTGGGACAGGGGACGCAGCGCCAACCGAACTCCAGCTTGAATTTTTTGGGCCCGAGCGTTTCGACTCGTTGTTTGTTTTCTGTTATGTCCACCCAGCTCTACAACACTGCGAGCAAGAAGAAACGTCTCATGGCTCTTGCCGATGTTTTTGCGCAAAACCTTCGAGATTGTTTCGAGCGACCTATCGAGATATCGTGGAATGGCGAACAAGAGCAAATTTACCTATCTTGCTTAGGCATGAAGGGCGATTGGCCTGCTCAAATCAAATTGGGAGGACTCCGTCGTCACCACTTGCGAGACACATGGTCCACAGATGCCGGCGCTGGCATCTGCCATTACTGTATGGGCGGCATGAAGGGGCACCCTTGGCATGACTTATCATTCGCCAACATGCTTGCGATGAGACAGGACGCACCGCCAGCGTGGTCCAAGCCCACTGGGCTGATCCAGCATGTGCCGCACAGCGTTCTGCAGGAACCGTACTTCTTCCGCATCGACCTCTTCCACCTCATGCACAAAGGTGTTCTTGCAGACATTGCTGCCAACGCCATTGTTTCCCAGCTCGCACTACATTTCCTTGTGAGCATAATGGTTTCCTGTGGACCCACCTGCCGTCTTTAGATTTGTGAGTTTTGCTATATAGTCACACTGTACTTGTGCTGTCGGAGGTGAGCTGCAGCGATCATGAGCTCTTCGGCTGTACATCGCTTGATCAGACCATGGCCTATCTGTATGAGGATGCAAGACAGTTTTGCCAGGCGCAAGGCCTGGAACTGCACATGTCAAACTTGACAAAGAATCAGCTGGGGCTGTCGCGAGTGACTGATTATCCCACAGGGTTTCCTGGTGAACACTATTAAAGTTTATTGCAAAGTTTAGTTAGTTCCATTTCGTCGGTTTAGTAAAGAAACCCTGACAGATTTAAGCAACATTGTGTTTGTACAGGGTCGACCAGGTCTTGGTTCAAAGGGAACGACACGACGAGTTTGTGTAAGTACATGCAGTGGAAGCTCAAGGACGTCCACGCAGACATGACTGGATCCGACAAGCTCTACTTTGCTGAAATCGCGTCTTTGCTGTCTTCTGGCAACGAGTTCATGCACCGACTATACCACGCTGGTTTGTGGTTGTCACGAAGCGATCGTGACAAGATCATTGCTGCAGGGGACAAGCTTGTGGACTCGTTTATGCTGCTAGCCCAACTGGCCTACAACAGCGATATATGCCGCTGGAAGGTTCAAACAAAATTTCATATGTTCGGCGAACTTGTCTTCAGTCTGAAGATGGATAGGACCAGAGGCTGCAGATCACTCAGCCCCCTGTCCTACTCCACACAGGTGGACGAGGATTTCATAGGGAAAATCTGCACAGCTTCACGGTATGTCAGCTCTCGAACGCTGCACGAGAAGACAATTCACCGATATTTGTTGAAGCTCAAACAATGTTGGGAGTGACACTATTGATACTATTGCACAAATAAGGCCCCGAATCCCGAATCTCAAAGCGCACGCCCTCCATTGTCCTTCGAGTCTTCCAGCGGTGAAGAGCATGGCGAAGAGGCATTGGAAAATCTTTGGAAAGCGCAGCTTTGGTTGTTTCTACGAAGGTTGTTGCCTCGTTCAATGTAGGATTTAGACAGCTTTTTACAGGGTTGGGGGTGCTTCAGTGTAGGATTTAGACAGCCTTTTACAGGGTTGGGGATGAATGTCAGGAAGGCTTGCTTGATGTTACAGTAGTTGCAGGGGTTCATAGTGCAGCCAGGTCGAGCCAGCAAGCACCGGGCCCCCACAATCAAGGAACCCAACTAAAAAACAACCCAAACCCTTAACTTCAAGAAATCTACAACTTTTCCCAGTGGCGGCTCTGCAC